AACTGAGTCTCTGTTCTTCTCAGCTCCTTTCTGCCCAGTGTGATGAACAGCAGCTGCTCTCTTGCTCTCTGATTCCCATGGCAGCCATGCTGTGTTGCAGAGATTAGGATTGCCTGTTTCCTCTCAAAGGGAATCTCCCATTTGCCTTCTGAGAGCCCTCTCTTATTCCTCCTGTGAAAACCAGCCAGGAGTTCCTTGGGTCCAATCCCCCTTTGTTTAATCTTTTGTCATCTCTATATCCTCAGGCTCATCAGGGAGGTGCCAAAGGTTGATGTCAAGAGAGTCCTTGAAGACTCACCGGAAGAATGTGTCATCACTCGTTCAGATAGCTATGGCCCTTCTGACTCCAGCCAGCCTCACGGAGACACCAATGAAATCACATTTGAGGAAGACAAAGTCAACTCTGCACTGGTTGTCGAGAGTCCATCATCTCATGATGTAGCGGAGGATGCTCTAATCATTCTTTCAGGTGACCTCTACATTCCTTGTTTATGGTACCTCTGTCTGGGCTGAGGAAGATCAACCCTGAAGACAGGCTCTATACACACAAGTCGGTTTGAATAAAAATGTATGATGTATAAAAATAAAAACACAGGTATCAGGGAACTTTTATCTCTTCCTCAGCTCATGCCATGCGTTTGTCTCCCAGGCCCAAGTATCAAGTTACCAGACCCCAGGCCGGTGTGACAAACTCATGGTCACCTGAGTGCAGGAGGTGTACAGTAGGTGTCTGTCAGGTCTCCTAGCTTTCAGTCGGTCAAAGCTAGGAGAACAAGCTCTCCTGTCATTATGTCATCTGTCCCTGAATGATGTTCATGGATTTCCATTTCTTTTTAAGGAAACTGGGAGCCTTGCCTATTTATTTGGCGATATTGTTCCCCAGGTTTGACTGCTCCGAGCGTCCGTCTTGATCTCTTTTGAGTCAGCTTGCTTAGCTGCACAGTCACCTTGAAACCAGGATGAAAACATTTCCGCTTTACCTTGCTGAGGTGTTTCCGTGAAGCAAGGCTCACCCCAGCTCTCCACCCCATCAGTGCAATGGCCGGTCTGATTTTTCTTCGTAGCATCGCATAATTGTTTGCTGTTGTTGGGTTGGAGTCTTTTTTTGTCACCCAGGCTGGAGTGCAGTGGCATCATGTTGGCTTACTGCAATCTCCACTTCACGGACTCCAGTGATTCTCCTGCCTCTGCCTCCTGAGTAGCTGGGACCACAGGTGCTCACCACGGCACCTAGCTAATGTTTGTATTGTTAGTAGAGACGAGGTTTCGCCATATTGGCCAGGCTGGTCTTGAACTCCAGACCTTGAATTTTTCACCCGCCTTGTCCTTTGAAATCACGGATTTTGTTTTTTGTTTTTATTGAGATGGAGTCTCCCTCTGTTATTCAGGCTGGAGTTGAGTTGCACGATCTCAGGTCACTGCAACCTCTGCCTCCTGGGTTCAGACGATTGTGCTGCCTCAGCCTCCCGAGTAGCTGAGACTGTAGGCGCGTGCCACCATGCCCAGCTAATTTCTTTGTATTTTTAGTAGAGACAGGCTTTCACCGTGGCAGCCAGGATGGTCCCGACCCCCTGACCTCGTGAAGTGCTCCCCTCAGCCTTTCAGAGTGCTGGGATTACAGGCGTGAGCCACCATGCCCGGCCCACAGGTTCTTTTTTGTTTGTTTTTGTTTTGTCTTTTTTTATTCCTTCTCCCTAGAGACTGTCACAAATTGTCACTGCCGACTGTATTGCATGTCATCACGGCAGGGTATTGGGGAAAGTTTTCAATGAGCAATAATCTCATCTCAGATAAGACTCGTTGGCTACGATACTGCCACGGCGCAAAGCTCGCAGATTCTTTTTCAAGCAAGTGTGATTAGAATTTACAATTTGTCCAGTTTCACGTATAGATGCCTCTGATCATTCAATGACCTTGCTACCTGGTGAGATAAGTCAGTATTGCAGCAACACTCCCAGAAAATAGTTTGACTACTTTTTGGATGTTTTCTGGGAAAAAATTTGGTTTAACTTTGCGTAGACTCATGCAGAGAATATAGCACTATGGTCCACCTGTACAGGGAGATTTTGGTCTGTGCATCTGGAAAGCAGACTCATCTACTCACCAGGCTTCATCCAGGGCACCCTAGAATCTTCCTGTCAGAATTTGTATTCTTGCCCTGAGAACAATTCTGTGCTTGTGCTATGACTAAACACTGATTTGGTCATACTTGAAGTGTGATTTTCTTAATGTGACCTGCTTTTCTGAATTTGCTTACAGAAGATCGAAAAGATCATGAGGAGGACCGGCAATATGGAGACAGCCAAAATAAACTTCTTATGAGTCAAGCGGCCTACGACATGGGCTGCCGGCTGAAGACGGAAGGTAAGTTCTGTTGGTTCACCATCATGGAAATGCTGAACGATATCCTGTCTTTATTCTGAGAAACTGAACACTCTCTTCATCAGAATTTATTTCATTTTTCCCATACTTCTAGCCAAATATAAATTTGTATCTTAACATTCTGTTAAAAATGGATGAGAGAGGCCAAAGCATGTAGCCACTTTTCCACATCTGCAGTAAGGCGGGTGTGTGACTCAGGGTAAAATCTCAGCTATTGATTCCTGACACAGGCACAGAA